GGGGTGGGGGGACGCGGGGGAGCTCCCGGCGCGCCACGCGGGTCGGGGTTGAGATTGGGCCGGAGCCCTTTTGGAGGGAATGCTCTTCCCCGAGTGTCCCGGGAAGCCCTGGGCAGGCTAGTGTCTTGTGATCTTCAGCCGACAGGACCGGACCCGCGGGACCCCCTCCGAGGGCCACTTCTGGGACTTCCTACCGAGGGACGTGGACGGCTCAACCTCAGCGCGGGAGGCAGGACCACGGGCCTCTTCGTGGGGTCCCAGGTCCCTCCCAGGGGCCCTCTTTGCTGGGCGTTCTCAGGCCACCCTGCTGAAAGTCTGCAGGAGGGCCATGTCCGGAGGAGCTCTGGGCCTGCGGGGCCGGGACACATGGAGCAGGCCCTGTCCCCTCTCTCCGGAGGCTGTGGAGGAGGCACAGACTTGGTCCAGGCCCTTCTGGGTTCAGATTGGCCACATCCTGTCATCAGTGCGGGCCTGCCATGCCCAGCCGGCTACGCAGGCTGGGGGAGGCTGTGTGGCCTTGGTGACTCTCCCAGCTCTCACTGCTGGGGTCGAGGCCGAGAGTGGCCCCAGCAGCACGCACAGCACAGCCTGGCTGGGTGAGGCAAAGGGAGGGGCAGAGACCTCCCCACACTGAAAGGTGCTGGGGTCCCTCCAGGCATTGCTCAGGGAGATGGCCTGCTAGCTAGGCTAGGTCCTGCTCGGAGACCCGATGTGTGTAGAGAGCCGTCTCCCTTTTCCTTACTTTTGCACAGCACAACTCATACCATTGTCTCTAAATAAAAGTTTCAAACTCAAAACTAAACTTTTCAGCATCTCCAAGGCTTCGTGAGCTGAAGCAGGCTGGCACCTCCTCAAGAGGTGGGATTCTGTTCACCTTGAACAGCTGGTGAGGGGCTCTGCCCCTCCCCCATCACAGATGACCAGGGCTCTGCAGCTTCTTCAGGGCCAGTCAATGCCACACCACAGGCTGGACAGCACCTGCTACATGCTTCTAGTCTGGGCCAGGGAAGAGGGATAAAAACTCAGGAAAGATGTGACCTCTCCTGCCTGAACCCTGGTGTGAGGTGGCCTCTGGACGCCCCGTAGCATTGTGCCCTCTAGCCTATGTGCTTAGGGGACTTAAGGTTGGTGCCCAGAGAGTGTGTGACACCTCCTGTGGTGGGTGGGGAGCTGGGTGCCCAGCCCTAGTAGCCTCTGCACTTTAGGCTGCACTCGGTGACCCCGTGCTTGGCCTTGCCTGCTGGGCCCCAGCCTCTCCCCATTCCACCCCTGCCTCGGCTCCTGGTGGCTCTGGCCTTGGAGGAGGGGCCATCTGCAGCCTCCTAGGTGACTTCCTGTCCCCATCACCACCCTTGGGTGCCCAGAGCCTGGGGGCTCCCCTGGCTCTGCTTATCAAAAAAAAAAAACCTTAAGCCTAGCCACAGCTCTAGCTGCTAAGACCATGCCACGCCCCCCTGAAGCCAGGGCTGGGAGTGGTTGGGCTAAGCTAAGGAAGCAGCCCTACCCTAATTTCAAAGCTGGAATCCCACTAGGGGCTGTGCACTCCCACAGGAGAAAGGGCACAGAGCCTGGCCACTCAGGGCCCATACCCCCCTCAGGAAGGCTCCCGGGGCCTGGCCAGCCCAGAAACCCAGGACCTGACCCAGGATCCAGGAACCAGCCTCCACAAGTTCTCAGCAAACCTGCCGGGCAGGTCTTACTTGTAGTCCTGTCATCCCTAGTTCCTGCTGCTATATGGGGTGCAGGCCAGACAGACTCAGGAAGCCCGGTGGGAGTGGGGTCCAGACAAAAACCCAGGCCAGAGCTGAGCTGGCAGGCCTTCATAAGTCTGGAGATGACAAAGGTCTCAGAGACCCGCAGGGCAAAACAACTAGGGAAGTCTCAGCTTGGATCCCAGGGAGCTCTGGTTCCTGAAGCACCCCCTTCCCAGATCCCAGTGGCCCATCCAGAGTACTCCACCATGGCCGTTAGGTAGACTTCAAGTTCTGGGCCTCACAGAACCTGCACAGCACTGTCTTGGGACGCATTCAAGGCACTTTGGGTAGTTTATTGTTTAAGTGTTGGGGTAGGGGAGGGGAGGTGGCATGCACGCAGTGAAGGACACTGCCCACAGGCACGTGACCACTGCGTGAATGTAGTATCCACACTTGGCCCTTCCCTGGCAAGGAGTAGTGGCCCTGGGAGCAGGGGAGTTCTGAGCTGGCCCACGCCTCTCCAGGGGACTTGTCAACTGGCAAGGGCTAGGGTGCTGCGCTTGCGGCACTCCACCTTCCTGAAGCAGAAGCCCAGGACACACTAGTGCTTCTCACTGCACGTGGACGGAATCCTCTGTGGCCACAGACGCCTGCTGTCCTGCTGTCCAGGCGACTCTCCCCAGCTATCCTGGGCAAGAGCTGCTACCTCCAGGAGCTCTGCCGTATGTGGGAAGCTGTGGGGAAGACACAACTGAGGAGGCTGAGGCCCGGGAAGGGTCCATCCCACAGGTGGGGGGCTGGCAGACATACCCTCAGGACTCAGGCTGGGCACTAGGACATGACTCTGGGGGGTTCCTTGGAGGGCCTCTTCACTGGCTGGAGGCAGAAGATCCTGTGAGGAAAGCAGGTCAGCTGGGAGCTGGGCCTGCCCCCATCATTCTGCCTTTCCCCAGAACCACGCTAACCTCTGTGCCAGATGGGCCTCTGTCCGGATGTGTGTGCGGTGGTAGGGCAGCCCCAGTCTGCTGGATGAATTGCTGCAGGTTACACTGACGGAGCTCCCGGTTCAGCTCCTCAAGCTCCTGAGCCTGGGCCTGGGAGCACATAGAACTCTCAGGGGCCTACCATGGAGCTCCACAACCCACAGAGCAAGCTTGCTAGTCTGACCCTCTGCCAGACCCCCAAGCTGGCCTGTGTATGGGACAGGGAGGCAGCAGGGCCTGAGTCTCCTGGGCTCACCTGCAGGGCATGCTCAGCAGCCTCCAGAGCTCGGCTCACCAGGGCCAGGCTACCCTGCACCTCCACACTCTGCCGCTCCTGGACTGCCAGGTCCTGGAGCAGGCGTTCTGTAGCAGATGCTGTAGCAGAGGGAGGTCCAGGCGCCTCTGTGGCCAACCGAAGCTCAGTCTCCAGGGCACAGGCCTGCGCATCCAGGGCCTGGAGCCTGGCAGCATGCTCGGCAGTAGCTGCACTCAGGGCCTGCAAGCGAGCCTGGCCCTCTCGCTCCCGGGCTTGCTCTCTCCGAAGCTCCTGTTCCCAGAAGGCCTCATGGCCCAGCTCCTCGGCATTCCTCTGTACTCTGAGCTCTAGGTCCTGCAGGTCTGCAAAGGTGCCCGGTGTGGGTACTAATGGGGTTGCAGGCTCAGGGGGTAGGGGATTGGGAGCCAGCCTGGGACATCCCAAACTGAAGGTCAGTGCTTTCCGGGGCTCACGGCCGGGTCCTGCTCTTGGCTTTGGGGGGAGGCTGGCACGAACTGGGCATCGCTCCGGGGGCAGACATCTGTCTGAGGAGGGCCTCCCAGACAGGCTGGGTCCTGTCCGCCTCAGGACAAACTGGACATCACTGGCAAACTGTCCACAGGTGGCCTGGGCACCTACTGGACACTCCTGTGGCAGCAGCTGCCGTTCCTTCTCTCTGAGACGCTGCACAAGCACGAAGCGGCCTGTCTGGCCTGTAGGGGAGAGAAAGGTTCAGCCCGTGTTCTTGACTCGGTCTACCTTACTTGAAGAGTCAGAACCAGAGCGATCAGGACCTGGTTTCCCCCTCCTTGAAGGGGGAGGGTCAGCGACCATTGGGCCCCTGCCCTACCCACTGGGTCTCTCTGCCTCCAAGGTACTTACCTATTGCTTGGGCTAGTGCTATAACCACTTCCTGGCAGGTGGTCTGCTCTGAGACCCCGCAGACCACCCGCTGGATGCCGTCCACCCACACTTTCAGCTCCATGGCGGCCAGCTCCAAGATCATACCTGTCCTGTGGGGAGGGCACAGACCCGAGGGTCAGGGCCTTGGCGGGCCCCGCAACAGGTTCAGTGTGGTGTCCCCTGGAAGCCGCGGCCTCCCGTGTCCAGCCCGCTCCAGGAATGAAGGAATCATTAACCAGGTCCAGGATTTCCCGTCACCTGCCCCGAGGGCGCGGCCCCTCCCGCGGGCGGCACCGCAGGTGGCCGTCCCCAGGCACCGAGGGCACCGGCGGGCCCACAGGACGCCCTCGCTGCCCCGGGA